TTGTTTTTATTGTATTAAAGTAAACAGCTTACAGCAGCTCAGATAATGTATTACTGCATGTTGTATGCATTATTCTATAACTTATTTCAGCTTGTACTTGTCCATGCGTCCTTGATTACTGTTTATCTGTTTTTGTCTCTTCTATAGGTTAATGGCTTTGTAATGTGATGATGACTGACAGTATAGCAAATAGCCATTACTATTGAACACTAAACAAGTATCCCATGATTGTGATTTTGACTAGTCATTCTTCTGGAGATATTTGTATTTCTTTTTATTGCGACCTACTAATTATCTACTGTAATATTGAGAAGATATTTTCTTGCTGTATGCCAGCAGTCATTTTGTTGTTGACAAGGATTTAGTTTACTGGAAGTTTACACAGCTGTTGAAACAAAGGAGTGTCCTGAGGCCTTAAAGGGTGAGTTACATGTACATAGACTCTATAACAACATTTTGAAGTTTGAATGTAGTGTATGCCTTATTAGTGTCCAGTAATTTAAACTGGTTTTTCCATAGCTGTATGGTTAGCATACAACTATTATATTGGCCTTGGCTGTCTATCTCCATAATATTCAACATTGTAAAGCTGTTGTAGGTCTATATGGAAGCCAGGCTTTGTGTAATATGGTAACAGGAAAATATAGAAACCCAGGGTTTCCCACAAAGCATGCTAAGTGAGCTAAAGAGCATGCTTTGTGAGCAAACAGGCACTACAATAAAGTACATCACATTTGAAGTATAACTTTTAAAATTTATTAAAAACCAAATTTGATTAGAATCAGCTCAAAAGTTACACAGCGTAATGACATGTATTTGTATCAGAAAAAATTATAAAAATGAGAAATATTTTTTAGCCATTTTTGACAAAATTTGGCCAAAAACAGCCATTGGTCATTCACCATTTTAAGCAACTTTAGAATTTTGTAAAAAATCCAATTTTAATTGAAATCAGCTTAAACTTTTTGTGCAGAATAAATACATGTATATGTATCGAAAAAAGATATAAAAATTAAAATTTTCTCCTAGTCATTTTTAGCAAAATTTGGCTAAAGCATACAAAAACTTCCACCCAATTTTTGAGCAAATTAAAAAATTCATAAAAATCCAAATTTGATTGTGAAAGATAATTCAAAACATAAAGAGCAGTAAGAAAGTATTAGAAAAATTATAAAAATGTAGAATTCTCTCCTTGTGATTTTTATTGAAAGACTCTCTGTAGTACAGGGTCTTTGTGCCAATTTTTGAGCAACTTTACAATCCCTTGACAAAAAGCTGCATGAGCATTATGCCAAAATTTTATGGGAAGCCCTATATAAACTTACTGGTACCTTTGGTACAGTATAAACATCTCTCCCAGACTCCCAACACAATACATACCATGATTACCATCAGGAGCCCATAAAATGCAGGTGTTCACATGAAGAGGAATTGAGTAGGCAGCATTAACCCACGTATGTAATCCGGTAA